TTCCACAATTTCTTTTAATCATACAACCGTAAATCCCAAGACCAGCGTATCGTGCAAACCCAAACACCTAACCTACCTTTCCTAACATGTATCTATTCTCTAGACAGAGGGGAAAGCCCCCCTGTATCCCTTCTTATTAGCAGTTTGTGACAACTTATAGAAAACAGATATTAAAACTCTGGCAGTGAGGGTGTTGTGGAGTGTCGAGCGGTGATATGCAGCAGACATTTTTGTCATTTCGTGGTAAACATGACGCTGCTTCAGCTTAGAGTAAGAAACAACTTAGTCTATTTCCTGCAGTTTATAAGATAACAATGTTCATTTCCCTTTACCTCCTCCTGTCGCTCTTTATAACTTTAAACCCAAATTGTGAAATTGTAATACTTTGGTATACATTTACGTAATGGTACAAGTTACCGAGAGTGACAGAGAAAATGGACACTGCTGCATTATAAATCCCAAGAAATATAGTAAAAAAAAGCTACAGATGCATCGCACTCATATTTACCGCAAAGATATTTGCTGCATATCCCGAACACGCCAAAGTTTGACTTTTATCTTTTTTCTACAAGTTAGTGTGTTAAGGCAAATAAATGGGGTACAGCAGGTTTGTCATCCTGTTTAAGGAATTAATAGAAGATAGGAAAGGTGGAATAGTTTGTTCCACTCAGCTATTAGAAGGAAAATTTTACCTTTAGTGGACATAATAATAAAAAAGAATTTTCTTATGGGTTTACCTTCACAATTTGATAACAAAGTTGAGGTATTTTAGATAAAAAAAAAAATAGGTTAGGTGTTTGTTTGCATAATACCCTGGTTTTGGGACTCTCTGGTGGGTGTGTCGCTCTTGGTAGCAATTACCAAGGAGGGTACAGGGGGCTTACTTCCCCCCTCCTATCTAGGAATAAGAAGTTAGGGTTAGGTTTAGATATTTAGGTTCATGATACCTTGGTTTTGGGACTTCTGGCTCTTGGTAACAAATACCGAAACAGTGATTGTTAGGTTGGATAACTGAAAAAATTAAATTTCATATCAGCCTATTGGCTTTGTTAATTATATATTCCCAATTTTAGTGTGATCATTAGGTAGATGTATGCCAAGTATTTTTGCATGACTTCTAAAATGATTGGCATAGATAAAGGATCACTTTAGTTTGTTAGTTGGTAATACTTACATTGTTTGAAATAAGTTGGTTTATTTTCAAATGTTTATTCCTATGTGGAAATGTAACCTTTTGCCCTCTTCGCCATACCTGACATCTGCATATGGATGACCAAGTGCCAAAAGTGGGCCAGAAAAATTCTGAATCATAATCAGGTTTTCATCCTGCAAGTCTGCAAGTGATGCCAGATACATTATCCATTTAATAGTAGCACCACACGCTTCAAAATATCCATAACCTAATTGTCCTCTGTTTTGCAGAAAGTATGGAAGTTGGAATTATTCCTGGAGTTTGGCAGTTGAGTGAAGTGGAATAACAGCATGTGGCACAGGTAGGTGAAGCAGAACAGTACTAAAGGAGGTAGAGGTTGAAGACCGCGACGCGCGTAGAGAGAGGAAAATGGACACCGCCATCTTATAGAGCGGGAAAAATGGAAGGGGATAGCTTATAGTTTAAGATGCACCGGCCTTATAGTCGCGCTAAATGACGAAAATATAACGCGCAGCGCCTTTCAAATTTCAAAGTCATGTACTTCATTTGCATATTTTTATATATCTATACCCTCAAATCGAATCCTGCGCATCGAGTGTTTCACACTTTCTTGCGCCAGCCACAGGTTGACAGCTCACCAACCCGCTCATTTCGAGATTGAAAGCCGGTGAGAAATGTTGCGTTTCCAGTGTTGTGTTGATTCTGGGTTCTTTTTAAGACCTTTACAGTGGCATCGAAGAATAATTCGACTTCAGTAACCATCCCAGTTTTATATCTGAGCCCATCAAGAGCTCCAAAGGACGAAAAAGGTGATTAAAATCGAAGCAATCCCAACAGTACAAAGAAACGAAAGTTTCACGTTTCCGGATATAAAGGTATTTGGTTTATTATTTTACGGTGTGAATGCAGCTCTGTCTTGCCGTACATACCGTGGTGGAGAGAATGTGTCCTGGGGGGTGTTGGGGGGCTTGCCCCCCATCAACCCTCCCTCGGGCAGTGCCCGAAGGGCACGCCTAGTCACGGCAATTTATATTGATATATTAGGTTGGTTTATTGGTCAATACGTTTTTGGGGGTTGGAACGTGTGAATTCCCGTAGAGTTTTGCCGAAATGTGGGTTGGGTTCCCGTAGAGTTTTTTTTATTTCGCGTCAGTCCGTAAACTTTCAAAGATGGCGGTTACATCCGTAGAGTTTCATTGGCCGATTTTAAGCGCTTTTTGTGCTAGTTTTACGCATTTTTGATCGTTATTCTTATTTAAGCTTGTTTTACCCCATAATTTCCCTGATATACTTCATGCCCTCCCCTGCTAACGGGACTATCAAATCAAGATCGTCGATGGAGAAATGGTACTCGATCTCCTGAACGATTCATTCGCAAAAGAAACAACGCCGAAAATCGATGAAATCATAGGATTTCATGCAGAAAAAACATCATTTTTTTCGACTTAGTCTCTGCGAGGGTGCGTCGCGGTCTTCAACAATTACCTAAAGGATTATATAATGCCCATCATTCATTGTCTGGCAACACTACACAATGTAAATTAACTTCTTGGATCTGGTTGTCTCAGCTAGCATAAGAATCAAAAGCCAAGCATTAGGCTTAAGCTTACTTGAGCGGCCATCTCCTGAGTATTTGGCGCAGACATAGAACACTTGCGTGGTGTCAAGTTTCCACGCCTCTCCTTTCAATTTTTCTTTTTCTACATTATTTTTATCCCTCCCCCCTCCCCCCTCAAGTTCTGTTTTAGTATGCTGTATTAGAATAGAAATGTACAGTTTTCCTTGCACAGACTCCTTAGCTAGATAAGTCTACAACTGTGTAATAACAATTAATAATGGTATAATTTTTGAGGTTTTGTATTAAATTTCCTATTAGATATCTTGTGCCTTGAGTCGTTCTGTCACCCTGGCCCTCTGCCAAAGTTTACCATGACCCTGACAGACGTGTTGCCTGGATCGAGTGGTTTAACACTTGCCTGTGTCTTGGCTAAAATAAGATGACTTCCTATTAGACCAACTTGTTTCCATTTACCCAGACATTTGAGATAGTGTTGATTGTATAAATATGGTCATATCAAGTAGCAAAAGGAGACAACCTGCTAGTTGCAGCAACCAGTTAATAGCAGGTATCCATTCTGCCAATATATATCATGCAGTCTGTCTGGACAGTGATAATAGGTAGTACACCTTACAGTAGTATTGTGATCTTAACCTGTGAATTGTACAAGTGTTGGTGTTTTGGCTCTCATTTGTTTCACATCCTTTTAATTTAATATTATGTGAAAGTTTAATTTAGATAGATTTTAGTAGAATATAAAAAATTATGAAATGTAACAGTTTGCCCTCTTTGCCATACCTGACATCTGCAAAGATGTCCAAGTGCCAAAAGTGGGCCAGAAAAATTCTCTGAATCATAATCAGGTTTTCATTCTGCAAGTCTGCAAGTGATGCCAGATACATTATCCATTGAATAGTAGCAGCACACACTTCAAGTGCCCATGATCTAATGTTCAATTACTTTGCAGAATGTGGAAGCTGGAATTACTCCTAATCTGTGACAGTGTGGCTTTAACAGCATGTAACACAAGTAGGTGAAGGCTGACCTATCCCAGGTTCGGAGGAGTAGCACTACTGAATATTTTTTTTGCATTATCCATCATTCATTGTCACGTATGGATTAACACCAACCTATATCTCGGCTCATATAGTGAGCTTTATTAGACAGCCTTGTCCATCTCCCCTACACTAGGCTAGACACACAATTGGGCCCAGTGCTTTGTTGCAAATGCAGCCATATCCAGCAGCCAATGGAAATGTGAAAATTTTGAAGTATGGGAAACCTATTTACTGTGGTCATGCCTTCAATATGCACAATTGTTCGAAAACAAAAGCTAAAAGGAACCTGTAATTTACTCTTGAGGACTGCTGCAATAACCAAAAGAGGGAGCAGCTACTTGGCATGCACAAGCAGACTAACCCTATAGGTTGTACTTTCTCTGGACCATGGCAAAAACGTGATTGCTCTTCATAATTATCCCCCCCCCCCCCCATCTCCCATCCAACATACTGTTCATAGGCTAAAATTTTTCCAGGATAAAAAAACATTGGTATTCTAATTCAAGTCTAGGGAAGGGCATTTGGACAGGGGTGACTAGTAGTGCATATCCTTTGAAGTAAACTCCTAAATGTCCGTTTCATTTAAGATTGTAATATCAGGCTTTCATTTACTTCATAATCCTTTCAAGGATTAATTTAGATTGGTATATAATTTAATTTTTAAGTTTTGAAAATTTTCACAATTTGCCCTCTTCGCCATACCTGACATCCACACATGGATGACCAAGTGCCAAAAGTGGGCCAGAAAAAATATCTGAATCATAGCAGATTTCATTTTGCAAGTCTGCAAGTGATGCCAGATACATTATCTTTGCGACAGTAGTAGCATAGTCATAGTATAGTGTGCAACACCTAATTATATTTAACTTTGCAGAAAATCTGGGAGCTGGAACTGTTCCTTCAGTTTTGGAAAGCAAGTTGTATGGAATAACACCTTGATAGTGCAGGTGGGTGAACATGGATATCTATCATATTAGAGGTAGAGAAACCATATCAAGAATCCAATATCCACTTGTTGCACTATTTGAGTAGGTATAAATTCATAATACTTTAGTTTTGATATTCAGCTTGATATTACTTTGATTTATTTTTTAGCCTTCTAATTTAATCTAAAAGGTTAATATATGTTGGTTTATCCAATTTCTAGATCTACAACTTGTAAACTATTTGCCCTCTTCGCCATACCTGACATCCGCACGTGGATGACCAAGTGCCAAAAGTGGGCGAGAAAAAATATCTGAATCGTCAGGTTTTCATTCTGCAAGCCTGCAAGTGATGCCAGACACATTTTCTTTGGAATAGAAGTAGTATACATATCAAGTGCGCAACACCTAATTACCTTTTAACTTTGCAGAAAATCTGGAAGCTGCAATAGTGTAATGGAATAACATCTTGATAGTACAGGTAGGTAAAGGTGGATGTCTACTCTATTGGGAGTAGATATACAGTACTAAGGATGAAAACTTGAAGGCCTGCAATTCAGATTTCCCCAGACCAATTGCCATATAATGCATTTGTTAAATGTTCATACTTACTGTCATCTATAGTATGAGCATTGCTATATTCATGTCAGTGCTTTATCTCATGACTATAGTTAATGCAAACGTGTAGATGCACGTTATAGAAAAGATTTGAAAGATATTGAATATTTGGGCAATTGGTCAGAACACTTGCATAACATACCAATCTTATCCAAAGTAATTCTACTTTAGCAGATATTACCTCAGTTTTATCATAATGTGATATTGAAAATCTTAATTTTAATTTATATTAACCCCTTGCTGCTGGCTGGCTTGTAAGTACATCCCATGGATGTTGTGACCAAATAGCAGATGGGATTGCATCACAACCATTCCTACACTTTTGCACATTGTACTGAGCTAGTTTTTTCTCTGATGGTAGCGTCATTTTTTCTATAGTCAAACTTTTAAGCAGTAGCACCTAAATTTAATCATTCACTTAATTTTTTTGAAAATATGGAAACATATTTCTAAACTACTGAGTGAGCCAGGTGCAAATGGGTAATTGTCAACGAGCGCCACTAGCCAAATTTTTAACATGTTAATGGTTTAAGATATAATTTGATTACTGATTTAACCGTTTGCCCTCTTCGCCATACCTGACATCCGCACGTGGATGACCAAGTGCCAAAAGTGGGCCAGAAAAAATATCTGAATCATCAGTTTTCATTCTGCAAGCCTGCAAGTGATGCTAGATACATTGTGCCATAGAATACTAGTTGCATACATATTTGATGTGCATGACCTAATCTAATCTTTTAACTTTCCAGAAAGTCTGGAGGCTGATATCACCGAGATGCAGTGAAGATATGGAGAAGATTGAATAATTTTGCAAAGGGGATAGTAATGTCTTCGGTGATGTTGGTCTTAGCAGGCATGAAGTACACGTGTTGCCCAGCTTTTCCTTTCATGTATGTTTTTAACACATGGATATAGTAGCACTGCACACCCACAATTTCATGAAATTATTATCAATAACTTTGGCACAAAAAGTAGTCATTGGTGTAGAAAGCCCCCAAGTGACTTTTAAACTTTGAGAGTATGGGAATTCCCTTTTATCCATGGGTACTAGACTCCTAACAGAAATAATCTGGAGTGTATTTAATGTAAAGGTAAAGAATTAATGCAGTGGTACAAGGAAAGTTGTTTTCTAGAACAGCAGAATTGCTATTAAAAAATCTGTTAAATTATATACAGAATTTAAGAGGTTTCTCTTCTTGCACTTGTTATCCACCTTTGGCACTGCTCTATAAACTAGAACGACTCGCTAAGGAAGGTCGTGTATCTAAAATTGACGTGTTCCTTCCCATATTCCCAGTGCTGTTTCCGTCTTTTTCAATTGTGATAGTCCAGAGAAATTGATTTCATTGATCATAATCCATGGTCTTGCCTCACTCTATAAAGCTGCTCAGATATCTCTGATCTTCAAAATTGCATAGGTTTGGCAATAATTGCTCAGGACTTCAGAAGTTAAGAACAAACCCTGATGACATGTCCATCTCAAAGCTTGCTTCTGTGAGACTTTCGACTGAGTGAACCATGTGCCATAGAAGCTGACCTCTGCATGCTGATAATGAGTACGAAGCACTAATGTTTGAAACTAGCCTTATAAGTAAAGATTGAAATATTTCCGTTATACTCCCCTCAACGGTCGGTACATCACAGCATTAGGAAATTTGATTTGAAATTGGTTGATCCCACTGTAAAGGGCATTTCAGTACGAAGGGTACCTAAAAGTCGGATTTTTGAACTTCGGATGTTTAAGCGAGACTGATTATTTTATATTGAAGATGACAGTACACAGTAATGCACTGCTGTTCATTTGTTTATGATTATAATTTGCATCACTGGTGAATGTGGAAGCCACATCCTTTTGTTCCCAGGTTGACAAAGGTGTAACAAGCCTGCCTGCCTTTAACCCTTGGAGAGAATGATGTACATTTGCAATATTCAACTCTGAAGTTCAGTGTCCTTGCACTTTCTAGGTTTTGAGTTGTGCATGTCAGTGTCAATCATCACATTAATTGGTTATAGTGCAATCAGAGTAATAGTGTAACACTCGGGGATACTTCATGGCCTTTCTCACACTTCACCATTTTCAGTAGGGATTTCAGTCTTAGCCAATGAAATCAAAACCATAACACTCTTCATTTGCTTGACTAGGCAATAAACTCACTCAGCTGCTGTGATGGTATCTGCTTTGTTTTGAGGTATTTCTGATGCAGATGTGCTTGCCACTGATGAGGTGCTGGGAACTACTACCTCTATTTTTTGCTGTTTTTTTTTTTTTTTAAGTTGTTTCCTCACCTCATGGAAGACCTTTTTACCATTAATTGTTAGTATTGTCAGTGCTTTGGCATTAAACTTGTGACACAAGGCATGAGCAAGATTTTGGTGAAAGGTCGTCATGGTGTCCCAAGCTTTGTTTGATTACACCTTTCTCCATGAGGAGAAAGGCCCCTCACTGCAGTTATCTGCAAATGAGAGAAGGGTGTGAAAATTTTAGCATTTAAAGTGCACTATTTACTGTCAAGGACTGTTTGTATGGAAAACAGTGTTTGGTGATAGCTGTCTGATGCAGCCAAATTTTTTTTTGCCAAAATTAAGTACTAAGTTCTTTTGAAGGTGGATAGTTAGAACTGACAAGGATATGCTCTTTGCAAGGTTAATTCAGTATGTGAATGTTTTGTAGCATATGTCTGGAACACTGGTTGTGATGCTGAAATTTGTGGGTAGTGCATTTACTCATTAGCTTTTAAGAAATTTAGCATGATGTAAAAACCTTTGGAATAAATTGAAATGATAACCTTATTTTTACTTTTCCCATCAAGTCTTGTAATGCAGTAAATTGTTTTAACTTTATACGACTCTAGAAATTAGAACCAACAGACCATTTATTAGAATGGGAGAATGCAACATGGCCATTCAATCAACCCCATGCCACATTGTGTATGTCATGCCCACTGTTCTAGTAAATTATTTACACCTAGATGGCTCTACAACAGTCACCAATGAGATCAATTACTAGTACTGCCTGTCTTGCTTGGTCTCCCATTTCCTTGATTTTAGAATATTTTAGGCATCTAATATTGCTGATGATAATGCCAATAACACTATAGTAATTGTCTAGTAAAAATTCAATATTGATAGCATTATTAAGAGATGGAGACTGGAGCCCAATGTAGGGATTACCACTGCCTTGGACTTCAACCCTCGCCTCAACTAATTTTGCTTGTCTTTTCTTCTCCTTTCCTCTTCTGTATCTTCTATACCATTCCTAAGGTGAGAGCCGTGCTGAAAGGATGAAAGGCTAGCTTTCTTTCGGTCATGAACAGCCTTCGGGAGCCATGGGCACAGTATTCCCTTGGTTAATTGCCTAGCCCTTACCCCTTATGGGGACCCTTGAGGGTAGACCATTTCTGTTCCCCATTTTATTGAAGCAGAAAGTGCCCCTTCCTCTCTCCCAGTATACTCCTCTCCATCTCTTACTACAGTCCTTTTCAGTGTCTACCCCCTCTTCTCTTATTACTATTCATCATCCTTATTGTCCTCCCCTCCACAGAACTACTCCACACCACCCCATCTTCCTCTCATCCTCATCCTTCTACTGCCTCTACCTCTGCAAACCTTTTGAGTACTTTTTGGCCCAGCCAATTGGGAGCGATTCTTTGATTCCCCCCCCACAGCCCCCTATTCTGAGAATACCCTTCTTTTCAACAGTTTCTCCAAAAACAAGTAGGCAAAGTTACCTTTCACAGCCGCTCTGATTGTTCACGCCTTATCAGTTGTCATGCACTATCTACTCTAACTGACCTCGCTGGCAAATCCATTCCTGCCAAACCTCACCCCTCTTAATCCTTGTACTTGTACTTGTATTCTATCCCCCCCAAATGCTTGCCCTATCTACAAGGACTGGTTAGACTGTAAAAATAACCTACTTCCCTTCCTTGCTGACTATGATGCAGTAGCAGTACAGTGCTACACTATTCCTCTCAAATGCCAGCGTAAGTCCCATGTCAATTGCCAAGATTAGCTTCCGTAGACATGATCTCCCCCATGGAGTTTATATTGGTACAAATTGCCCTGCTCAGTCCTGTACATGTGCCAACTGTGGTGACTCCCATAATGTATTTTATAGGAGCTGCCCTGCCTGTAACTGGAATGTGAGGTAGCAGTTCTCAGATCCAAAATAGGCCTCACTCGACTTGAGGCTAGACAGGAAGCACGACAAGGTTTTTCTTTACCTATTCCAAACTAGTCCTTTGCACTGCATCCCCCCTATCTCCACAATATGTTTCTGCGCCTTCCCCAGTATCCTATCTCTATTCTCCCTGTCCCCTAGTCGAACCCTTTTCCATTCTAAATCCAGATACTCCAACCTCTACCATGTCTCCGATGCCTACCCTTCCTCCCCCTCACTTTACGTATCGCACCAGACAACTTAAAAAAAAAGTTCTATTCCATCTCGCCTTCCACACCCTCTCCTACTCCCATTTTTCCTGCTGCTCCTTGAACATCTTCCCTTTTCTACTCTTAAGAGATCCTTTGTTTATCAGACCTTCCTACCTAAATCCCCTCCAGAAAGTTGAAGACGTCCAAGAATTCCCTGACATGACCCATGAAAATGTTCTGCTCCCTCATCCACCCTCCAATCCCTCTATTCCTACTCCTATATTCAAAGTATTTGCTGATATCCATCCTCCTTCCCATCAAGTTCCCCTTACCTCTCTTCCTACTACTCTTTCCTAACAAACCCCATCCTCTCCTTCTCCCTGTACACCATTCCCTCTTCGTCTTCCATTATCGTTACCTCCCACCTAGATACTCACATAAATCCCCTCCGTCGCAACAGTGTCCTTTTCCAGATTCCCCCCACCTGACGCTCTTCCTGATACTTTACCTCCTTCCTCTGTCCCTTTATCTCATCCCCCAGACTGTTCTCCTGCTACTTATCCAACAGCCATCTTTACCCATATTACCCGTTGATTATTTCATAAGTTTTTCATTAAAGTAATGTTATTAGAGCTTCCCTAACAACAGATACACCCCATTCCATCGAATCACCCTATACCCTTAACCATTATTAACCTTTATTGATCTCCTTGGCCCAGCCAAGTGGGATCAATTCTTTGTGATTTCCCCCACAGCCCCTTAATCTGAGAATACCTTTCTCTTTCAACAATGTCTGCAAAAACAAGTAGGCAAAGTTTTCTTTTGCAGTATTTCTGGTTATTCACACCTTGTCAGTTACATCTGCATCCCAAGCTTGTGTACTATCTACCCAAACTAACCTCACTGACAAACCAATTCCTGCAGACCCTCACCCCTGTACTGGAACTGTTTCCGCCTCCCCAACTGCTTGTCTTATCTATGACAAGAACTGGTCAGATTATGAAAGTGACTTACTTGCCTGCCTTGTTGATTTTGATACACGCTCAGTATCTCTTCCCTCTTCCCTCAAACCATCCTACCTCTACTCCCACTCTCCCCCAGTCAAATTCTTTTTCCAGTGTTTAATCCAGATACTCCAATATCTACCACTTCTCGGTACCTACCCCTCCTCCTCGCTTTACTTGTTGTGACAAGCAACCAAATTGTTCCATTTCACCTTCTCCTACCACATCCTCTCCTACACCTTCCTCTTCCTCTGCCCCTCAGATATCTATCCCACTTCCCCTCACAAGAAAACCTTTATTTCCTAGTCCTCTGCACCCAACTGCCTTCCACCTTCCAGAAACTTGAAGGCATCCCAAGGGAACACTCCACTCCATCATCCACCCTCCAATCCCTCTGTTCCTACTCTACATTTAAAGTATTTACCGATATCCATCCTCGCCTTACTCCTTCCTACTCTCCCAACACATCCCATCCTCTCTACCACTCCTACCTGATGAATGCTCATGCAAATCCCTTCAACCAGAACAGTGTCCTCCTCCAGACCCCTTCCCTTCTGACACACTTCCTGATACTTCACCACCTTCCCCAGTCCTCTTTTTTCATCCACCGGATTCTTCTCCTTCTCCAACAATGTCCCTGTTCCTTTCCCAGTCACAGATAACATTGCAATTCACTTGATTTCCCTACCCCCTCAACCCTTCCCTTTTTACTAATATCTTCCTTTACTCCCATCTTTTCCCATTTCACTACCATACTATAATGCACTCTAATCATTGATATCTAATACTCCTCCAGATTCTTCTCTCCTCCTACTTCTCCAACAACCATCTGTTTTCATTAATCTTCAACTCTTTTTTACCCTTGTTGCCACCATTTTTTTTTTCCAGTGCTATATTACCTTTGATGTCTTGTACATTTATTTGTGCCAGCCTTTAACCATCAACCCACAGAAGTAGGATGGTATTGGAAAGATAGAGAGAATGAGTAAATGGGTGATGTAGGAATATGCAAAGTGGAAATTAGATCAACTGAAGGATATTATGTATTTGAGGAAGGAGCAAATGTCCAAGGAGAAAGTGTGGGATTCATAAGAATGCTTAAAGGCCTGTCCGGACAAGTGGGCAGATCTCTTAACAGGCACATATGACAAGTAAACTATCAAATTGTGCAAGTGCCCAATGATTGAAATTATCAGGAAGTGCTTGGTCGCTTAAGCTTTCATTGTATATGGCACCACCTTATGCTAGTAAGATATAAAAAGTGCTTACACTCATTCTTAAATACTATGAAATCTTGCACATGGTTATGTTGTAGTTCCCGATGTGTGGTTTCATAAACATCTTTTATCGAGCCAGTCTCTGCATTTTTTTTTTCTTTTCACAATGTTTGTTCTTGGTAGGCGCCATGCTTATGACACACTACTGACCATGTAAAAATTCTTGGAATGGACAGAGCAGGTATCAAGTTGGAGGAAGTAGCAGCAGTTTTCAGTGTCATGATCCAAGGAGAACCAGGGGTTGGGGAACAGGAACTGTTAATGTCTGTAGGGCTAGTTGGTAAGGTCCTGTCCACACAAGCAGGCACAAATAAAGAACTTCATGGATGGACAGACTGCTTGATAAAAAGTAGTTTCCTTGTTTTCTTGCCTGTTGATGTAGCCTTTACAGCTGTCCACTGATCATGCCTGCTTGTGGACAGGCCTTATAAAGGTATAAATTCATTACCGGCCCATGGTAACCTTGTATGAGGGGTAAGGGCTAAGATAACTAAATGGGAATACTGAGGCTGTTCAGGACCGATACAAAGTCAGCCTTTTATCCTTTCAACACAGCTCTCACATCTTAGACAGTTGACAGGAGAGGTTGGGGAAGAGAGGAAAAGGAAAGACCATGCATAATTGGTTGGGCTGAGGCCCCATGCAGTGGAAATCCCCAATATTGGGCCTCATTCTCCATCTAAGACCCCACAAAAGCCCTGGGTGTGGGAGATCATCATTGTAATGCAATTATCCCTTGTAATTATATAATTTAGGCTGGGTAGGAACAAATTTCAAGGAAGTATTTCATAATTACAGAAATAGGGTTACTTACATGAAACACCATTTTAATGTATTTTTTATTATGGACCAAATATTTAAATTCCTCTACATAAACACAAGATATCCTGCCCAGCTTTGACTGGATCCATAAACAGAGTTGTGTTTGTATTAGTGTCTAGACCAATCAAGAAGTGGGTAAGAACTGTTGGTTTTCTCTGAATTTGTTCTTAAATAGCATAGTTGTTTCTATCAGTGATAACTGCAATGTGATATTCTATTATTATAAATGTGCATTATCATGACTACACCTGAAATTCAGCAAAATTGCAATGGAACTGTATCATGATGTGTGGTCAAGAGTTCAATAACTAAAAAGGACCCAATAAAAAGGAAAAACAATCTTATTATTTTATTATACCCATTATAACATGAAAGGAGAAAAAATCCATAAAAAAGAAATCATCACCAGTAAGTCTTATCAATGTTGCCAGAGCTGGGTGTTAAGTTTTCTAGTCATTTTTTAAGAGCACCCTTCCTCAGCACAAGAGCTAAGGCACCTGAGATATACCACAGCATCAGGAAAATTACTACTGCAACCTAGATGTGCTTCATACACATACCAGGCCATTTTTAGAGCAGTAAGTCATGATTCCTATTGAGCCGCAGAACTGCATTCAAAGCAGACTTTGAGGGAGAGTTCAGATCTTGGCATAAGTAATACTGATACAGAGACCTTTTAATCTCAAGTCTGGCCACATAACTATGAAGGAAAAAACACAATCCTTAATTTATATAGTAAGCTTCACTCAAAATATTAAAAATACAACTAGAAGCAAAGAATGCATCTATATCGTGTTTAACATATTCCAATAAATGACCGCAAATTAATCCTTACATTACCCTGATAAGCAGGTATATGATGTGTGCAGATACATGAGGCAATCTAAAGAAAATAGGTTTCCTTTACTTTCCGAAGTAACTAGAAAAAAGAATATAATATATATATATATATATATATATATATTTATATATATATATATATATATATTATATAATATATATATATATAAAGAGAGAGAGAGAGAGAGAGAGAGAGAGAGAGAGAGAGAGAGAGAGAGAGAGAGAGAGAGAGAGAGAGAGAGAGAGAGAGAGAGAGAGAGAGAGAGAATGTGTGTGTGTGTGTGTGTGTGTGTGTGTGTGTGTGTGTGTGTGTGTGTGTGTGTGTGTGTGTGTGTGTGTGTGTGTGTGTGTGTGTGTGGTGTGTGTGTGTTGGGTGTGTGGTGTGAGAGAGAGAGAGAGAGTGTGCGCGTGTGAGAGAGAGAGAGTGTGCGCGTGTGAGAGAGAGAGTGTGCGTGTGTGAGAGAGAGAGTGTGCGCGTGTGAGAGAGAGAGAGTGTGCGCGTGTGAGAGAGAGAGAGAGTGTGCGCGTGTGGAGAGAGAGAGTGTGCGCGTGTGGAGAGAGAGAGAGTGTGCGGTGTGAGAGAGAGAGTGTGCGCGTGTGAGAGAGAGAGTGTGCGCGTGTGAGAGAGAGAGTGTGCGCGTGTGAGAGAGAGAGTGTGCGCGTGTGAGAGAGAGAGTGTGCGCGTGTGAGAGAGAGAGTGTGCGCGTGTGAGAGAGAGAGTGTGCGCGTGTGAGAGAGAGAGGTGCGCGTGTGAGAGAGAGAGTGTGCGCGTGTGAGAGAGAGAGTGTGCGCGTGTGAGAGAGAGAGTGTGCGCGTGTGAGAGAGAGAGTGTGCGCGTGTGAGAGAGAGAGTGTGCGCGTGTGAGAGAGAGAGAGTGCGCGTGTGAGAGAGAGAGAGTGCGCGTGTGAGAGAGAGAGAGTGCGCGTGTGAGAGAGAGAGAGTGCGCGTGTGAGAGAGAGAGAGTGCGCGTGTGAGAGAGAGAGAGTGCGCGTGTGAGAGAGAGTGAGTGCGCGTGTGAGAGAGGTGAGTGCGCGTGTGAGAGAGAGTGTGCGCGCGTGTGAGAGAGAGTGTGCGCGTGTGAGAGAGAGTGTGTGCGTGTGAGAGAGAGTGCGTGTGAGAGAGAGTGTGGCGTGTGAGAGAGAGAGAGAGAGAGAGAGAGAGAGGAGAAGAGAGAGAGAGAGAGAGAGAGAGAGAAGAGAGAGAGGAGAGAGAGAGAGGAGAGAGAGAGTGTGAGTGAGTGAGTGAGTGAGTGAGTGAGTGAGTGAGTGAGTGAGTGAGTGAGTGAGTGAGTGACAGAGTGAGAGAGTGAGAGAGTGAGAGAGTGAGAGGGAGAGGAAGAGGGAGAGGGAGAAGGAGAGGGAGAGGGAGATTTAATA